CAGAACTACGATAATTATTTTATCCTACATTGAAGTTTGAATAACAATCTCAAAAAAATTAATTTTGAGATAATTAATTACGCGATATCGAATCAAAACGTGCCCTAAAAGTCCAGCATTATTCTCAAGCAAGTTTGCTTATGTTTGGACAAAAGAAAAGGTTGTTAAACACGTTAGTCTCTTAATCCATTTTATTAAGCAATAGTCAAGTGGGCATGACACTTGTTAATCATCCTGTAAACTAAAACTTGACTTTACTAATCACGACATTTTTATGCTTATCAAATACGAGTGGAGAAACCAACATCTGTCCTTTTGTCTCTCTCTAAGAAATAAAATAAAAATACCCCAATAAAAAGGGCACTTTCACACATAAAGATTTGTTTTATTTTTTTTTGGTAAACCACACACACATAAAGATATTAAAGTGGCTGCCATATCTTTTTCTCTTTCGGTGTAAAGCCTTGCTGATTTGTCTTTAAAATTAAAAAAAATTCTACTCTTTCTATTCATACATAAATATTTAGATTTGACTTTGATACATCTCATAAAATAAAATAAACAAAATAATAATTTTACTGTATTATGAATTATTAAATATAAAAAAACATTTAATATTTAATAATATAACTAAAACAATAAATTATTCTACTAATTATTAAATTAAATACTATATTCACATAAATATTTATTTTTAATAAAATAAATGAATAAAGTATTTAAGTTTGGCTTAGACCCCAAAGCCATGGAATTTAAATTTTGGGGGATGGTTGATATAATGATGATTTATTGTAATATAAGTCTTCTAGAAAAGGACCTTTTTTTAAAAAAAAATTAATTACCTTTTCCTTTAATTAAAAAATAAATAGGACGGCCATGTGGGACCTGTACACCTGGGGTTAATAAATTGGTCAGTACTTAAAAGACAAATTGTGATTAAGACATGTTGGGATTAAAATGAAAAAATTAGGAAGTAGTCACTAATCATCTTTCTCTCTTGTGTTTTGCCTTTAACATTGATTTATCAATTATCTTAAATCTGATAATGAATTGAGCCAAATGAATTAGTACTCTTTTATTTGAAAGATGCAATAAATTACAAAATTCATTACAAATGGTAGAGCGGTATTTTAACTGTTTAAATTAATTAAAAATAATGATTATTTTATTTTAATTAGTTTATTACAATTTTTTGACGAAAATCAAATACATAACATGAAACAGAAGACTTCCTTTTTGCCTTTTTGGGTGATATTAATGATTAATAAATTAGATAATTTTTAGAAAATTAAGAAATCTTATTTAGGTTAATTAAGTAAAAATGCTCAATGATTTATGCATAAGTTATATAAGTTATATGAAATAAATATAAAAAGTTCTCACCGTATGCACGACATTTTTAACCATTTTTAAAGTATAAATGACAACTTAACAATATTTTTTTTAAGCAATTATTGTCACTTTTTTTTTCTTTTTTAAATTGTCAGATTAGTAGTTTCAACCAAAAATTTGAAGCAGTAAAGTTATTACAATATTTAATTTTTTTAATTATATTCATCTAATATAATCTTCTAGACTATTTAACTTTTGTAATCATATTCATCTAATATAATCTTCCAGACTAACTTTTTTTTTTAACTTTATTATATCACAAAATGATGTATACTTCATTAGTTTAAAAATCCTTAGTATAAGGTCAACTTAAAGTAAGAATTCGAACCAAACACTTGTTTTCCTATGTATTTCTTGATATGTTAGAGCAATTATTTAACTCTCTAGTTTGATTAAGTTATCAATATTGTCGGTGTGGAAGATATGAAGTATGATCTCATTAGTTTTATACCGTTATTATTAATTAAATGGAGTGAAGTGTGTTATTATAGCCGGTGAAAGTGACATCTTCTTTGTGGCATTATGATTTTCATAATAATCTAAAGTTCACTTCTAGGAGTTTGTTTTCTTCGACTTTGTCTCAAATGTCACTTATAATCATTTTTGAAAAATTGCATGTTTAGAGTTTTATTTAGAGTTAGACATTCTTACCAACTTTAAATTTTAATATATGAATATGAATATAGTATATTTAGAGAATTTGACCTATACGATTTTGGACATTTTCATTTAATTAATCATTTTAGATTTATTATTTAAAAACTATTGGTAAGGATATATTTTTATAAGATATGTTTTGTGAATCAAAGTTGGGGCCCTTCGAAAGAAAGGACCGTAGCCCATGCCTAAGCTCCTTACCGTAGGCTCGATGAACAAAGGGCAAAATTGGCCTTAATTCAAACTCGACTTTTTTTTTTTTTACTACATTACTCATTAGTCAATGCTATGCTAGTTTAGGATGCGGTTATTATATTTCAAATTGAACCAAACTAATCATAGCTCCAAGTATTATTATAAAGGGAATTGTGTATTGGAAAAAAGACATCTCTACCACACGAATCTTAATTGTGAAATTAGAATTGAATATGTTGTTGTTGTTGCAGAATTCACACAAGCAAATGGAAGGTTTGTGAATCAAAGAATATTACTTTGTTTGAGACGTTGAGTTGAACATGGGCCTTTAGATTGTGATAGATCAGGATCCGACAATTCCCCAATTTGGACTCAAAAGTCCATGATAGCCTAAGTCGATTTGACCCAAGTTCAAAGTTGCTTTAAACACCATGCATGTTAGCAAAAAAATTGCTGATATGTTTACTTTTCGGGAACTTTCACATATAGCCATTCAAAAATATCCTAATTATTTTTCATAGCTATAGTTTGGTAATTACAATTTGTAGCTACATTTTATAGGGGAGAGAGGCGAGCGAGAGTGGTACAGAGAGAGGAGAGAGGCAAGAGAGGGCAAAAAGTGGGAGAAAGGTGAATTGTATATGTATATCGATTAGATAATTGTATATTATACATATATATCTGTATATATGGAAAGCGAGATTGTGAGAGGGAGGAGAGAGGCGAGCAAGAGAGGGCAAAGAGGTGAATTGTATATGCATATCGATTAGATAATTGTATATTATACATGTGTATTTATATATTATGGCGAATTATACTTATACAAAATGTGTTTAACTATACAAACTCGAAGTCAGCCCACATAATTAATTTATAATGTTAGCCGTGAATGATAATTATAGCAAAGTATAGCTATAATGAGTAATTAAATAGTATAAGTTTGCTTAACCACGTTATATTCCCTTACCTTTATAAAGTAATATTTGGTTTCAAAACCAACTCAATTCGGTTTGGGTTTTGGAAGCCCAATATTAGAGCTTTCCAATCGGACCCAAGTTCAATCTTAACGTGTATAGACTTCAACAGTCCAATTCAGTCTTTCGTTTGAAAGGGGTTAAGTGATAGTGTTAGCATACTTCCCTGTTTCCAATTCACTTTCCGGCCTCATGTAAGAATGAAAAAATGGAGCATTTTATTCATCGATGGATGAAGAATCGTAAACATAATATTTTCTGGTTAATCATATTTCCAGAAAAAAGATACTTACAAGAAAGGACTAGCACAACTGAAGTGGCTATACATACAATCTATTTACGAAAAAGTGCTCTTAGTGTCAGTAAAATGTTAGTCCAGCTGATCAGTTAGAATTTTTGAATCTGCAAACTCAAAAATGTAAGAATTTAAAGAGGATTTTGGCCCCTCAAATATATGAAAAGGCGTAAAGCCATAAAAATAGAATATATATATATATATATATGATCCAAAATGAAAGTAAATCAGTTCGAATATGCCATGAAGTAATATAATTGAGAATGTTTTGGTAATAAAGCATTATAAGGAATAGTGGATTCTTACCAGAAATATATGAGAACTCAAAGTAGCATATATTTTGTCAATTTATAAGCCTAACATCTGGCTAGTGGAGTTATAACAAATACTGTGTGATTTTTATTTTATTCTTAACAATGAATATAATAAGTAAAATAATGAAACCTGGAAAGTTTTACTTCTACTTGTTAGATAATGTTCATGCATTTTGCATGGGTTCTGTAGTGGAAGTCCTAGCTATTCATAAACAATATACACAACTAAAAATTGTTTATATTTTTGTTGATTGTGTGAATCTTTTATTTCTATTATGTATATGTCAAATGGGCCTTATTCAATACTTTGATAATGGTAGAGTACCAATTGGCTTTGTGCGCACCTTGACAAATATGAAGAGATATCTAATGTTTTTTATCAGTATAAATATCAAATTTAATTTCATAGAATACTTGTCATCTCGGTTACTTCCTATATCCATGAAATTTCGTCATATATTATGAATATGTTCCACTAAGGCCTCACAAAGCACATCATTATTTTGTCACCCTCCACTAGCACAGTGTACTCATATATATTTTGTTCCCCATTTTGATTTTATATAAAATTTTCTTCATCATTATACTGTCCACTGAAACACCAAAAAGTCAAGTGCCCTAATTTTTGGCTTTTTAAGTTTCATATCAACGGTTCACATGCAAAAAGGAATTTGGGAGGAAGATATGGACCAACATCCTAACCGCGTTATGTATACTATTTTATTAATTATTATGTAATGTTGCATGCCTTACATGAAATTCTTTTTGTCATTTATACTTTTTGACTTTGTGCGACTTGATAAATGCAGATCTAAATTTTCTATGCACCACTAGAAAAAAAGATAAAAATTGTATGGACTGTGTTAGAGTTGCATGTTTAGTTAAAAAATGAATTGGTGGTTTGCTTATATGATTTGAGCAGTTCTTTCTTTTTGAGCTAATTTTTGGGTTGAGTTACACCCATGTGTTATATCCTTACATGATGCAGAGTCAGTCCTTCCTTGTTTGGACTCTCAATTCACGTTCCAGTCAGACTTGAACGTGAAGGGGATGCTACATTTGTGGGGGAATGACTCGAAGGCTTGAACGTGAAGGAAATGTTTGAGTGAGTTACATTAGTTGCGGAATGAATCAATGATTTGTTTGTGGACTTGGACAATCCTATCTTGATTGTCTAGCTTTTAAGATTGAGTTAGATTACATATCTTTACATAGTGAGAATTGATTCCCATTCCTTCGATATAACTTAGCATTCAACCAAATACACCATTTAACCTTTTTTAGATGATGAACACTAGCCAATAATATTAAAATATCTAATTTATCAGAAAGATCATGAATTCACGTGCACCAATAAACCGGCGGATGAGTTGATTGCCTGGACCAAAAGAAGCTCACAGAATTACCTGCCTTTTTCTTTTCCTTTTTTGCCATAATCATGTGTTATTGGTCCATATGTCCTTAATAAGCATGTATAAAATGGAGCACTACACACTTCTGTTGCAGCAAATTAAATCTTAGCAAAATATTAGAAATATAGTAAGAGTAATTTATAATAGCCATGGCTGCCCCTTTCTTTCGCTTATTTATTTCTTTTCTTTGCTTTTCTTATACTATCAACAGCTTCATTAATGCCGTCCCAGTCACAAGTAAGTTTATATTTCAGCTCTCTTAGTTAATTTAATTTATTTTTCCTTCTGTTATCGATCGATGATCGATAACTCATAAATATATATACCATGATATATATTGACAGGAAGCAAAAGTTTGGTATTACTAGACATATCTCAAGAACATAATGTACTGTCAGAGAATATAATTCTTATGGTATGTACGTATATACTTCTTCAATCTTTAATTATATTTTTTCGTCCGAATTTTGTCTGATGGTAATTTTTGAAACTGTATTTTTTAGGATAAAACAAGAAGAGAAGTACTGGAAGCTGAAGAGATCATAAACGATTATCCAGGTTCGGGAGCGAATAATCGCCATACTCCAAGGCCCCAATTAGGGAGAGGCTGTGTTGAATGCTAGATAATATATCTATTATATCTGTTTTTAAGATAATTAACTGTGTTAAGTATCATTTTAATCATAATTGGCTCATATTTTGAATAGCTAATTAAGAAGGTTGATGATCGTGTGGATAATCTCTCTGAGATTTAGCTAGTTGAGAAGTTGATGAATTGGTTGAGGAGTACTTATTAATTAGCAGTATTATGTTCTATATGTAGTGTACTAATTTATGTTATGATTAATATTAATTTTATGAACTTTGTTTGGTATCATATAACAAAAATGCAAAGCAGATTACGGTTTTCAATTTAGAACTTTAAAGATACGATGAAGTTGGAATTTTCTTCTTTCTTTTCCTAAAGTATTCACTACCTCACATGATTCATTCGAGAATCTTACATCTGACCCAATGATTTTAACTCAGATATCATAATAAAAACAAATTATGAGATTAATTCACATCCTAAAATTAGCTCTTAAATAAAATATCCGAATTATATAAGGAGTCTCGACGTTTCTTTCGACACTACCCCTTTCAAATGCTGGACAACCAAAGATATAATGATGTTAAAATATGTCAATTAGGTAAACTAATCTCATGCACTTTTTAAATAATATGTTTAATTTGATCAATTTGGCAAATCAAGAGTACATGCTAGATGGATATGGTGGGTTTTGAGGTGGTAACCATTCACTTGGGTTGCATGGTCCCACGAAAATTTGGTAAAAGATCATATTATCTCTTATTTTATTTTAGAGGCTTGCTGGAAGCATGTCTTATTTTAGTTTTAGAAAATAGAATCTTTCTACTACCAATTTTATATTTATATATGTATAATATAATGGGATTGAAATCATGATGAGTGCAGAAACACATATCAACCAGATTGGATTAGAAATATTTGTTTCTTTAAACCTAGTGTCTACTTTGGACACCAATAGTTAAATGTGGCCATATATATTAGTGATACTGTAAACCATATAAACCTAGTGTTTACTTTGAACAACCATAGTGTTTTTTACTTTGAACAACCATGGTGTTTCTAGTTTTCCAGTAAGATACTGTCATATAACAAGAAAATATAGATTGGAAGTGAGAAAAAGAAGTCATAATACATGAACAACCTATAACTTCATCTCAGCTGATATCTATATATGTCCTCCAATTCCGTTGTGCATGAGTTAACATACAAACTATCATCATTAAAGTTGAATGAGTAGAAACACAATACATCCTACATAGCAAATTTCACGAAATTTTTCATGTAGGTGAATTTAATTGTTCAACTTTAAGTAAAGTTTCATTGTCAAACTGTACCCACTCAAAGTCAAAAGACAGAGATGTGAACTGACTAAGTTAATTAAGACACGTTTGTGTATTATGTCAAAGAAACCCTATTGTCCATCATCATCGGATGAAGGACCCAAAGCTGGTGTAGGAGGAGAAGCATCGGTTTGGCTCGGGTTCAAAAATCCGAGTTTTTTGATAAGCTCTTTAGCAATTAACTGATTAGCCCTATCAGAAGGGTGATATTCATCCCAAAACACATATTTGCTTCTATCGCTGCACAATGTCGATGCTGGATTACATGTCAATGCTGGCCTAATTTTTCCAAACGAGCAGCATGGTGAATCCGAGTTACTAAAACCTGCAATATTTACTTTGGTCAATTTAACTCATGCACTGTCAATACACAAAATTAAAATTATTCCTAAGATAACAAAAATTTGTACCGTAATTGCCGGGATTAGTAATGACATCGTTGACAACATCATAAGCATCTCCAAATTTGTAGCTAGCATTTGGAAGTGTGTTTGCCAATTCCACGACAAGTTCGTTTGTCGCTTTGTTGAAAGCAAGTGCCAGCTGGTTAGTCTTGTCTTGACACTGACCATCTCTACTTAGAACCCTTTGAAGTGGAATACAACCCATTGGCCCTAAACCAAACACCATCAACTCCCTTGCCCCCAAACTATGCAACAACTGAAAAAAATTAACATACTCCTATCATTAGTTAAATAAATATCGCAACAACAAACTCCACGAGGTTTGGGTAAGGTGGAGGTAGAGATTCTATTTAAATAGATAGATCGTCGGTTCAAAAAAATGACTTACAGTAAGCTGTGACCTTTGAGTGTCGACCAAGTACTGGATGAAAGATTTGTCATTGTACGTCCATGAATCTCTATAAACTGGCATTAAGTAATTGTTGATGAAATCATTACTTCCTAAAGCTACCACGTATCTTGCTTGTTGGAAAAATTTATTAGCTTCTTTGCTTCCAATTTTCTCTCTAATTAAGTCTTGTATGCCTTGAAACAACTCTATTTGCTTGTATAAGGAGAATCTCTGAATCTGTACATACAATTCAATCAAATTGAACTGAATTAAATAATAACGTTGGAAAAAGAATTACTACTTACAAATAAAGTGCCAGTCTCGTTTAGAATGCCACCACCACCAGAGGCAAAATTTACTCCGTTAGATAGTATAACATCCTCTGTTAACGATTGATCAAGATATGCGGGTGGCCTTGGAAGCCCCATTTCATCACCTGCACAATAGGTGTGGTTAATATGATTATTACAGGCAAAGCTATACACATTTTGGGGGAATTAAACCATATCATTATGTTTTGTTAATTAGTACCTATTATATCAGCAACAGTACGGCCATTGCAAAATCTACCATTAGGCAATCCACTTGCGAAATCAATACCATACCATGGCAAATTGGCGCGAGCAAGGCTTTTCGAGAGGAAATTGTTGTTGCCAACATCTGAAAGAGAGTCTCCAAAGATGAACTGCACAATCTTGCAATTGCAACCTCCAATTACAACAGCAATCAAAATTGTTAAAGTCAGAGTCAACTTCATGTTAAAGGTACTCTGTTTTAAAAAGATTTTGTCATAGGATTAATGACTCCTAAATTCTTACCTTATAAATGTCCACAAAGAAAAGTATATGTGGGGAAGTTGGACTGAAAAAAAGAAGGTAGCAAGAGTTTGATAAACCAACTGTCTAAGAAACTCAAACCTACCATATCTACTTTGAATTCTGTTACAACCATTCAACTCCAACAAACATAAGTTGCGTGTCCGTATTTAATTTATATTTAATATTCTGAATTTCAATTTGAACTTTTATATATATATTGACAGTACATAAATACACTACTAACATAACTTGAATAGGTCATAGCAGGTAGTTTTGTTTCAGTTACAATATGAGAAAACTAGTAACTTTTTGAGAAAGTTATCCGTAGGTGAGTAACCATTGGAGATATTGTCGTAATGAGTCTTTTCTCAAACATTGATTTTTCATGCATTAATAAAATGGGGAATTTTTTGAAATAACACTGACATTTGTTGAAATACAGTTGCTCTGTTTGTTATGCAAAACTGAAATACAGCTGTATTTCCTAGTGAGTAAATGAAAGAAAAAGAAAAAGAAAAAGAAGAAGAAGCATGAATTGCAACGGTATTTTATGTATATTAGTAATATTCCCTGATCTCATCAGGATTGAAAAATTACATTTCTGAATCTAACATTCTCTTCTCTCAAAATTTTCGATTTGATATTCAGAATGCCGCCTTCTTCTGATTACTGCCATTGCAGATGCGGAACTCGAGTTGCATTCCTCAAAGATTACATTTCAACGAATGATGTATGGATTCTATTTTCATCTTTCTTGAATTTTTTTGATTTCACTCTGTTATATTTCTCAACTAACCACACAACAACTTATTTGCAGGAGCTAAACTTCGAGAACAAAGGGATCTTTACTGATATGTAAGCCTCATCATTTCACGCTAGCTAGCTATTTTTTAAAAAAATAATCTGCAGTCTGATTTGTGCATGCAGGTTTAATGTTGAAGTACCAGAGAATGATGAGTCATATCATCATGTAGTAGATGGCAAAACCCTAGTCGATACTTTCTGTTGCAACTGTAGGAACCGGCTCGGGAGGAAATTTGTAAGATATTAATATGAAAGACAATTTGCATTTTCCTTGTTGTTGTTGCTTATACATAATTTTTCCTTTCGTCCAGATTGCAGTTCCACAAGGCAGTCGTTTCGAACAAGGACAATTCTTGGTGATATTGTAAGTTTAATTGCAAAATGAGACTATGCATATGCGATATGCTGTGCTTGTTGTAACGTGTTACGAATACAAATGATTGTTTTGTGTCAGGAATAAGCTTAGTTACACTAATGGCCACGACTTAGATCCTTATGAGGAAGATCTTGATCAAGATGGGGAGGAAAATGTTGATCAAGCTGGAGGCCCTAATGATGATAATCAAGATGGAGGCGCTAATGAGGAAAACGCAGCTGATAATCAACTCTTAGTTCCTAATAATGGGCATATTGGTCGAAATGGAAACATTTGAACCAATTACTGATGAAAATGCAGACATGAATAGCTTGATGATTTACGAAAATATACACTTGCACTGAGTGCAGTCACTAGATCAGTTCGTAACTGTGTGATATTCAGCTTTCTGTTTTGGTTTTGGGATTACAGTAGTACATGTTATTACTACTTCGAAAAGCAATTGAGACTCTAACATTTTACATATTAGAGCTCAGGTACTTCCATTCTGTATATGCTGCTGCTTAGTTTGTCTTTAATTTCTTGATACAAGTCATTTTTCTTAATAAAATGGCTTTTTTCAATGCTAGTGTGAGTCCTAGTTATATAATGTGTTTTTTTTTTTGGATACTTGACTGATAGAAGAAAGAAGAAAACAATCATCTCCGTCTATTTTAAATTTATTATTACAAAATTACTACTCTATTAAATATTTGTTATGTAAATTCAAGTTGAATTAAGGATATAAAGGAGCAGTTTTACCGATTATATGAGATAGAAATAAAGTTTTGTATTGCTTTATTGGGATAAACCAAATTGAAATTAGAAAGTGAAACAATGAAAAATATAAAGGAAATTGGTATATGGGTGGAATGATGGGATTGAAGAGGAAGTAAATGCATTTAGTTTATTAATTTAATGAGAGAGAAACTTTATCATTATTTAAGAACTCTCATGTAATGTTTTTAGAAGGTCGGAGGGTGAGATGAAGGCACGAAGCGTTTGATTCCTCACATTGATTTTTTTTTAAAAATGATCTAAAATAATATTTTAATGGATATTTGAATTGATTTATTTTTAATAGTTTTTGGTGGATGTTATGACTAGGTAATTTTAACTAGCTTTGCAATTTCTGTGTATAAAATTCAAAAATGAGGCCCAATTATTCTCAATCGAGTCAAAAAATCATATAAAGTGCAAACCCAACAATCTAGTTAGAATTACTGGTGATCCAAATAATATTAACACTAGGGAAAATGATCAAAATTACTTTTAAATTATTCGAAATAGCTTATATATATTTGTTTAAATTTTATTTCGACTCAAAATTATCTTTTCCGTCATACTATTGGGTCAAAAGTACTATTCTTATTAACGAAAGTTGTTAAATGTCCACGTGAATGCCACATTGCATGTCAATAGGGTTCTACTGCCACGTACACTAAATAAAAAGGGTCAAAAATACCTTTAAACTATTCGAAATAACTCATATTTACCCTTAAACTATATTTCGGCTCAAAACTACCCTTCCCGTCAAACTATTGAATCAAAAGTACCCTTCTTATCAACAGAAGTTGTTAAATGTCATGTGGATACCACATTCCATGCCAATAAGGTTCCACTGCCACATAGACTAAATCCCTAAAACCTAATTAAGTCCCCTCTCATTTCATTATTTTAGAAATGATATATTCACCTATTTATTCATAATTTTCTTCGTGGTTGGATTTCCAAGTGGATATTCATGCTTGTAGGTTAGTAAATGTTTTTTCTTATTTTATTATGTTTACGATTTCAAAGCATGATAGTAAGGATTTCACAACTTTCTCCTAATTTCGCAGCTAAGGCTTCATAACTTTCTTGGGGGCTGAGTTTAAAAGTGGATATTCATGGTTGTAGGTTAGTAAATATTTTTTTTTATTTTATTACGTTTACGATTTCAAGTGATAGTTAGAATTTCACAACTTTCCCGTCATTTCGCGGCCAAGGTTTCATAACTTTTTTCGGAGTTGAGTTTCAAAGTGGATTTTCGTGATTGTAAACACAATAAAATAAGAAAAAAGTTTACTAACCTATAACCACAAATATCCACTTTGAAACCCAGCGACAAAGAAAAATGTGAAACCTTAGCCGTGAAATGAGGGAGAAGGGGTGAAATCATTTCTGAAAAATAATGAAATGAGGGAAAAATGAGAAATTAAGATTTAGGGATTTAGTCATGTGACACATGTGGAATTTAACAACTTCTGCTAATATAAAGGTCACTTTTGACCCAATAGTTTAACGGGAAGGATAGGTTTGAGCCGAAATATAATTTAAGGGTATATATGAGCTACTTCGGATAGTTTAAAGGTACTTTTGATCCATTTCCTTAGTTTATGTGGCAGTGGAAATCTATTGGGTTGCCATGTGGCATCCACGTGACATTTAACAATTTTCATTAATTAGAAGGGTATTTTTGACCCAATAGTTTGACGGGAAGAGTAGTTTTGAGCCAAAATATAGTTTAAGGGTATATATGAGCTATTTCAGATAGTTTAAGGGTATTTTTGACCCTTTTCCGTCAACATTAAGGTCGAGCTTGCTCATGGCTCCTTTAAATAAATGTTATTCCCTCCGTCCGGTATTGTTTGTCATGGTTTCTATTTTTAGAGTCAAATTATAAAAACTTTGATAATTTTAAGATGTATTTTTTATCATGTTAATATGCAAAAAATTATAATTTGTAGTACTTTTCATATAGTTTTAGAATATCTATTTTTTTATTTAATATATCAAATTAATGTGATCCAATTTACCTTAAAAAATTAATCAATTTAACTTTTGATAAGCGCAATATGATAAACAATTTTGAACGAAAGGAGTAGATACTATGACTTGGGCTAAACAAAATGGTGATCCCACCAACGATAGTGAGTTAATATAGTTTCAGTTTCATACATTTATTTTCCCGAGAAGCAAATAGCTTATTTATTTGACTCAATTTAAATGAGGCTCTAAAGTGAAACTTAAGAGAGGACCTTAATATGCATATATTTTTATCATATATGCATTTATTTAAAATCTACTTTTCTAAGTATTTCAGATACAAAGTCATTAGTTGTTATTTTAATAATTTCTTTTCAATTGATTATATAGTTAATTCATTTAATCTCTTTTGACTTTTGAGACATTGTTAATCTTAAATAAGAATTAATCAATTTAGTTTCAAAAAACTTCTTTCTGCTAAGTCAATTGTTGCCAGAATTGTAAACAGTATTGTATAAGCAATATGTGTGTTTGAAAAAGAATCAAATCTTTTTAGTTAATGAGTACTTTCATATGATCATTATCTTTTGATATATTATTTCTCTTAATACTTTTAGTTCAAAAAATAATTCAAAACTATCATATCACAATAACTATATTTTGTTAAAAAATTTATAGTTAAGACTATTTTTTTTTATATTCTCATCATTTCGTGAATTCAATTACCACTAAATAAGAAATCAAAAATATTTTTATATGCTTCCATTAGTTCAAATCTATTTTAAAATGAAAAAAAAACATAAAATAATCAACTCTAATTTTAAGAAATTCTAATTTCGTTTTCAATATATTCATCAAATTATTTCTTATGAATATTGAATCTATATTATCTCACATGTAAAATTCACAATAGAAATCAGAGCACTCGTAGTATATATAGTTATTTTTTAGAAAATAACATTTATAATTAATTTTGTCTGTTTTAAAAAAAATAGGTAACTTGAAGTTATGAGCCCAACCAATGACTTAAATGACCTAAGGGTTGATATGACTTTGCTCAAGTTACTGTTGGTTTCATTGAGGACATAAGTTATGCTTTTAAAATAAACTGATACTTCCTCCGTTCAACGATAGTTATTTATTATTGTTTTAGCATATTTCTTGAAAGTTATATAATTTTAGTATATTATTCTTTAAAATAATAAATATAATATCTCAAAAAATGTAATAGAAAAATGATAAGAGTAAATTAGAAATTAAGTGTAAATTATCTATGAATTTTATAAAATGAACAAATATTATTGGACGGAGGAAGTATACAACCATACTAATTACTCGTTTATTTTTTTAGTTGTTCCTAATTATTTGTCTATTTTGATAAATCAAGAAATGTCAACTTTTATTAGTTTATTATATCCACAATTAATTACTTTGAAAATGATAGAACTCTTTAAAAATGTTAAGTTCTAATACATCAACTTCATGATTAATACTAATAAATTAATTATATAAATTATTATTTTTTAGTAAATATATTAATTTAAAAATAATCAAATAATTAAGGACCGAAAGACGAGGATACTAAGATTAGTATGCATAAAATTCTCAAAATTATATATGAAACTCTAGCGATTATTTCTCCAAAAATTTTCGATCAAAGAGATATTTGAGCAAAATTGAGCATAAGAGCACGGTGAGCCACAATAGAAAACTGTAGCTACGTGGCAGAATGTGAGCCACTTGGACATCATGCAAAATTAAAGACCCAATACTACGATAAAAACAAAAAATAAATAAAAAAAACGTAACCAAAAACAAACAACAAATCAAGAATCTACACACCATTATCCAAATCAAATCTTAGCCCTCCATCCCTTTTCATCAACGGCAGTCATCTCCTTAATATCTCTAACCATATCCATCAAAATCATACAAAAATTTCATAAAATCTCCACACTCACTCTCTCAGTTCTCACACACTACACAACCATGGCTTCAATTGCTCTCAAAACTTTCATCGGCCTCCGTCAATCCTCGCCGGAAAACAACTCTATTAAAATCTCTAAATCCCTCCCTACCAACCACACCCACCGTAGGCTACGTATCAATGCTTCGAAGTCCAGCCCAAGAGTCACCGGCAGAAACCTTCGCGTTGCGGTGATTGGTGGTGGTCCTGCTGGTGGCGCCGCTGCAGAGACGCTCGCTAAGGGTGGAATTGAGACCTTTTTGATAGAACGCAAGATGGACAACTGCAAACCCTGCGGTGGTGCCATCCCACTCTGCATGGTGGGCGAATTCGATCTACCTCTCGATATCATCGATCGGAAAGTTACCAAGATGAAGATGATTTCCCCATCCAACGTCGCCGTCGATATCGGACAGACTCTGAAGCCTCACGAGTATATCGGTATGGTGCGCCGCGAAGTACTCGATGCCTACCTCCGGGACCGTGCTGCTGAAGCCGGAGCTTCTGTTCTCAACGGCTTGTTTCTCAGAATGGACATGCCAAAAGCCCCAAATTCACCATACGTCCTACACTACACATCTTACGATTCCAAAACTAACGGCGCCGGTGAGAAGTGCACCCTGGAAGTTGACGCCGTTATCGGCGCAGACGGCGCAAATTCCCGTGTCGCAAAATCCATCAACGCTGGGGACTACGAGTACGCCATTGCCTTCCAGGAACGAATTAGAATTTCCGATGATAAAATGAAGTACTACGAGAATTTAGCTGAAATGTATGTCGGCGATGACGTATCCCCTGATTTTTACGGTTGGGTTTTCCCTAAATGTGACCACGTTGCCGTCGGCACAGGCACCGTTACCCACAAAGCAGACATTAAGAAATTCCAGCTAGCCACAAGACTGAGAGCCGATTCCAAAATCACCGGCGGAAAAATCATCCGAGTTGAGGCTCATCCAATTCCAGAACACCCAAGGCCAAGAAGATTACAAGACAGAGTCGCATTAGTTGGGGATGCAGCAGGATACGTGACGAAATGTTCAGGCGAAGGGATCTACTTCGCGGCGAAGAGTGGACGTATGTGTGCTGAAGCAATTGTTGAAGGATCAGAAAATGGGAAGAGAATGGTGGACGAGAGTGATTTGAGGAAGTACTTGGAGAAATGGGACAAGACTTACTGGCCAACATACAAGGTGCTTGATATCTTGCAGAAGGTATTTTACAGGTCGAATCCAGCAAGAGAAGCTTTCGTGGAGATGTGCGCTGATGAGTATGTGCAGAAGATGACATTCGACAGCTATTTGTACAAGAAAGTTGCACCAGGAAAC